CAGGAGCGCCCACCCCAGCGTCCTGGCCCGCAGCACCTGCCCCCACGGCACAGTCTGGGGGGCTTGGGGTGAGAAGCAACGTGACTGCTGGGGCTGCTGTACCCCCTTGCTGCGTGGCTCACACGTGAGCCTGTCCTTTGTCCCTGTTGCACAGGCCAATGGTGTAACCGGGGCTGGCTCTGTCCCCTTGAGCCTGGCAGCAGAGCCAGGGTGTCTCACCCTTTTTCTGCGCTGGAGGGGCCACCGCTCAGCACCTGCACGCCCTGTCCTACTTCCCCAGCCACATGTCCTTCAACATCGCAGCTACCGCCTTTCCCTTTCTTAGCCCTGCGTGGCTACCAGCTCAGAGGAGCTGATGCCAAGAGAGGACTGTCAAGGGGCTGGAGAGGGCAGGAAGGCCGCTGAGTCCCAGCCCTCCCCAGCAGAGCAGGGCTCCTCCAGAGTCCTGCTGCTTGGCTTGTCTTGCTTTCAGTGAGGAAGCAATGGCTGAAGCCTACGACATGACACCGCAGGGTTCCGGTAGCAGAAACCATCAGGAACAGCCTGTTGCCACAGGAAAATTCCAGAAGGAAGAGGAAGGAGCTTTGTATGGCAGAAGCTCTGAAGCTTAGGGGGCTCCTACAGTCCCTTGAGAGATTTTTTTAATGCAGCAGAAAGTCAGCATAGAGACACTGTGAGTGGTTGGAATGATGGAGCAGACACAGCATTTTCCCCAGCCTTATTCAGTATCATGGTTCTTGCCCTACCTCCAGCTTCTGGAGGCAAAGAGATGAGTCTAATCCCTCAAAAGAGTACAGCACTAGTTAAAGAAGCTACTCAAAATGATCTTCCAATATATAAAATAAATTATACATATAGTTTCCACCTTTATTTTAAAAAGTAGCTTTTTTTTTTCTCCTTATACAAAGTATTTGTCATCAGCAGTTACAGACAATCAACTGGGAATGGGAGGTCCAGCAAGTGGTCTTCGCTCTGCAGGGGCTGGGAGTGTGACAGGACAGTGTTTGTCCATTTTAAGAGAACCCAGAGCAGCTGAGCAGTAAAACTTGAAGTCTCTCTCTCTCCAGTGACATCACTGCATATCTCCTAAGATGTTCCTGAAGTTTTCCAGTTCTCTAACACTTGTGGAAATCCTGTGTGCAAGGAAAGCAAAAAGGAAACATTGGAGCAACAGACACTTCATGCCTTATTTAAAATGCAAGAGAAAGGGACTGCTGTCAGGTGTGCTTCAAGGAGCTCTTGGGAAGAGAGAATCTAGAATTTCAGCTAAATTAGGTTCACTAATTTCACTCTTTTTAAAGGAAACGCCAAGAAACAGGACGTTACGTGGAGCTCAGCAGTGAGGAGACAAGCCTGTTAAGTAGAGGTCAAGAAACAGACCATAATATTACCAGCCATGCAGGCAGGTCACAGAGCCTCCATACAATATAAGCTTGTTTCTTCTGGGTTTTTTTTGAATCATCTACCTCATTTTTCTTGCTGAATGCATTTTGGCCCTGGAGCACCAGTGAAGATGCCGGGTCGGCCTCTGAGGATACAGCCCGTAAAGGAGAGCGCTGCCCTTCCTGGCCTGGATAAGCTTCTGGTTTAAGGAAGTTTTGAATCACCCAAATCACTCATGAACCACAAGCAAAAGGTGGTGGAGATCTGTCTTAAAAGGCTCTTCTAATCCAGGTAGGTGGGACATGAGGGTTGGAGTCAGAAAAAGCTGGCTGGCCCCATTTTTTTCATACAGCAGAGGGAGAAGGGAAGAAAGAGACTCTCTGCCTGCCAGCCCTTGACTCCCTCTGAAAACAGACATTCAGAGGGTCTGTAAATCTCCTGCGTGTTGTTTCC